AATGTTTCCTGCTGTTCCATTTTGTTGACACAAACATGGTGGACATTCAGATAAAGGGAAACTTCAGGTTCTAAGGGCTACTGGATACATTTTTAATTCAAAAAAATTAGAGAACAAGTAAGTTGCAAGCCAAGGCTCTGATCAAGCACAAAATCAATTGGGCTCCCATGCTGAATTCAGTGAAGGTTTAGAAAGTTACTCCTCACCTCCCAATATACTCCTCCAGTTGTGCCTTACATACTCTTATGCATACAAGTAGTCTCTCTTGAGTCAATAGAAGTGCTCGCGTGAGTAACACCTGATTACAAGGAAAGGATCTGCAGGATGTTGCCCTTGAGAGGTGCAAATGTTTTATGTTCATTTCTATTTTCAGTGCTGTTTTAGTGCCTGATCCTGCAGAGAGACACACATGCTTCACTGTCTGTATTATAACTGCGCCTTAGTTTGTTTTCTGTTATAGTTGAGACTAAAGAAAGACCAATCAAAGTGGTGCCAGAATTAAACACTTCAGAGCCTTTAGATTCACCAAACTTTAAATCCATCAAAATAGAGATTTCATTGCTACCTAATCAGAAACCATTTGGCTGCCTTAAACTCTGAGAGAAACTCTTATTTAGAAAAGGAAACTGAAGTTATTTTACCTGCTTTGTTTGGATTGCAAGGGGCTGCAAAGACTTGAACCAAGATGTCCAGCAGATAAATAGCAACAATCACCATTTCTTCCAAGGGTCCGAATATGCTGGTAACAAAAGCAGAGTTTGCTTTTTAAAATGCTGCTGGATCGTAACAATTTTTTTAAATGTTGATTTAAAAAAAAGTCTATGAAATTCCATTAAGTGCACACATAAAATTGTAGATGCCATTTAACATACTCTTTAGTCACTGCTGGAAAAATCATTTGGGGCTTTTGATCCATCACTTTGCCGGATTGCAAATGCAGCTCAGGAATATTTATTGAACATTTCTACCTCTTTGGGTCATTATTGCCAATTTTAACATCTTAGTTTTAACTAGAATTATTTTTGTTCCTGTAAAAGTTACAGAAGCAACAACAACAAAAAAAGCTACAAACATTGGTGAATCAAAATTAGACTATGAATATGAAGGGGAAGGGCAGTAGGAAAAACAAAATCAAGCAAATCAGAAGAAAAGAGAGAAGAGCCAATTTAGAAGGAAGAAGAAATTCAGAGATGAGTAAAAATACAGACTTTTTAGACAAATAGATAAACTATTCCCATGTTCAGTCAAGCTGGTTGTTATCCTGCAATATATCCCTCACTCTCTCATGCAAAGCTGTTTGAGTGAACAGGATTTCTTCTTTCATGTCAGCCTTTGAGTTTGCAAAATAGCAATATGAATGAATAGTTTTGAGAGTTCAGTCACAGACCTCAGACCTGCAAGTTGCTCTGTATGTCCCAGCACAGAACAGCTTGCAGGATCATAGCCGTAATACTTGTATTTTACCATACTAGGCAATTGTAAGTAATTCTTCTAGTTTACAACCATTGCTCAGCAGACAGAAATAACAAGTATCATTTACCAATAATGTGTCTAGATAGAGAAACCATTTTTTCCATAGAATTAGTATTTTCAACACAAAACCATTTTCAATCAGCCTGTTTTCTACTAATATACAGAACATTTCTATTATATATCTAAGTGATAATCCCTTTAAAAATATCCTATGTACCTATAAGAAGTTTACAGAGTGTAATACCTACAAGACAAGAACAGGCAAAAGATTCAGGTATTCATGCTCCCTGTTTTATTCTGTTAGCTGTGTATCTGCTCTTCTCAAGACGCCCTTCTTTCAAATGAATCCAGCTGGCATTATCGTCACTTTATATAGGCCATCTTGTGAAAGGGACCCATCTTTGGTTAAATCTTGATCCACCAGTATTCTCCAATAGGGTACGGTGGCCAAAAAGAATTGCACAAAATGCCAGCACTGAATGCTCAGATCCCCTGCTCTAGATTAGACATTACTAATGCTACCTGACTGAGTTTAAAACCTCTTTATTGTGGTCCTCAAAGCAAATTCTGGTAATAGTAAGAAAGTTGCAACAAATTTGTTTTAACCTTAACGTGGAAGATGGCATATGGAATTTTTTTTTTATTGGAAGAAAATCAGTTGCTTGCTGGTTGATACCTGCTGGCTTAAAAGATTCTGGATGCCCATTGGGTGGGAATTTCAAATAAGCACAACAGAACTATGTGCCAGGAAGCAGGGCCTGCAGCAGACCCACTCTCAAGGCAATTTAGTAAGAGCAGCTGGCCTTTAGCAGGCTGCCTGATTGGATACATCTCCTAACTGGTTGGAAGGGTCTGCAGATGGGCTCTTAAGATCAGCGGCAGCAGCAGTTCACTGACGGCTCCAAGCATTCCCTGTGCTTGCTTGGCCCAGCCTTGCTCTTGCCTTACCAGGTCACCAGGTCCAATGCTTGGCTCTGATTTCTGACCTCTGACTTTGGGCCTATCTTGAGCTCCGACATAGATTGTTGACTTCAGTTCTGACCCTGAATTTTGAGTCTGTCTGTGATCCCTGGCTTGGGCACCTTTCTGTTCTGACCACTAAGTCTGACCGCCAAATCCTGGTCATGGACCCGACATGCCCAACTCTTACCAAAATCTTTGAGATTTAGGACCTATCTCCTTTGGGCATTTTGTAAAGCCCACCTTCTAATGGCATTCAGATAGACACAGAAGACAATATTCTATAAGTTATCTGCAAGTTTTCCGTTAAAAGCATTTTCGGAAAATCATGCCAGTGTAGACGCAGCCTATGTGTATAGCGGCACATGTAATTCATTGCTTGCCCATGGCAGGATGTTTAGAGATACTAGACCATACAGATACTCAATGATCATGACTGTAGCTCACCCACCCTCTCTCCTTTCCCAGGTCATATACTAGGAGGTGCTGAATCTTCCACATAGCCCTCCTACATAGTAGGAAGTTGGCATTTTCACTGTGTTTGGGGACTTCAGAGGGTGCAGGTGTCTCGTGAGGTAGCTTAGAACTGTTTGAAAGTTTTCAAAAGCAGAATAGCTAAATTAAAAAAAAACATTCTGTCATTCAAAATGAAAATTATGCCCCTGAAAAAAAGGATGAGCGTCAATGGCTTTATCTTGCATATCTATTACATGCAAATAATTTCATTTGAATCAATGGGTAATAATTTACTGAATTAGGCCCAACAGGACAATTGGTCTAGTCTTGCAATTTGTATGTGACTAAAGGTTGCAGACTGTGGCTTGTGGTTTATTGTTTGAATGATGTTTGCAAATAAAACACCACTTTTTTGTTTGCAAAACTTTCTAGGACTTTTTAAATTAAAGTTTTTGTCCAAGATTTGTATCAGAAACCTCTAGAAACTATCAAAACGTTGATTGAAATATTTAAGCTGTCTGAAAACCTAATTTTCAGAAAGCATAATGTTTTGATAATGGTATAAAAAAATGTCAATTAAGAATTTTGCAAAAATGGGGAAAATTGCTGTTTTGAATTCTGCAAAATATAAAAAACTTAGACATTTTGAACTTTTCATAGTATTTACTAAAAAAAAAAAGCTCCCATCCTAGATTTGCCCAATAAAATATATACAGCTTAAGTCATTCCTTAATAGTGACTCAGTATTACAGAAGTTTTGAATGTGCATTAGTATTTGTAATGAGATGTTTAGCTCCCTTTTCTCTTATTGATAAGTAATTTTTATTCCTGGCATTTTTTCTCCTTCTTATTCATAAGGAGGTGACTTAGTCACAAATACCACAGTTTGTCCCGGGTGTAATGGAGGGGAATTTGGTTTAAAAAGATAGAAAAAGTTATGTGGAATTCTACTATGCAGTGTTGTAGCTATGATCCCACAATATGAGAGGAACAAGGTGAATGAGGTAATATTTTTATTGGATCAGCATTGCTGGTGAGAGACAAAAATTTGAATCCTATTTTTAGCTTTGTATAACCTCGAAACATTGTCTCCCTTGCCAACAGAAATAGGTACAATAAAAGATACTACCTCATCCACCTTGTCACTCTGGTGTGGAATTATAGATCTATAAAGACTGTTTTCTTCATAAAAAATGTGGGGGCCATATTATTATATGGATTTTTTAAGCCCAACTCTCCACCGATTTCATTTCCAACTGAGGGTACAACTTGCCCCATGATATTTAAAATAAAAATAGTGGAATACTGGCCCTAACAATATTCCATATTTCAAACAATAAGCCATGAGCCTGACTCTGCAACATTTAGTGCATAAAAACTGCAAGCCTAGAGCAGAGTATGTTAAATATGCGGTTTCTTTGCCCTCATAGTCCCAGTTCTGTAAATCATTATCCACTGATTTAAATGAAATAATTTACACATGTAACATGCAAGCTCAGGCCTCTTGATCCTCGGCCACTGTCACTGCAACTGAGTTGAAGAGTAGTCTAGTATACAAGAGCTAAAGAGCATGAGTCAGCTGATTTGAGCTAGTTATGGATGGGCCTTGCCCTGACTAGAAATCCTAGAATTAGTAATATTGAAACTCCAGATTTGTTGTCTCTCTTTCTCAGTTTATAAGGCTCAAATCCAAAATCTACTGATTTTCTTGAACCAAAATCAAATGGAGTGTGTGTGTGTGTGTGTGTATGTGACTGAGAGAGAGTGTGGTTAGTTTTTTGTTGTCATTCTTTCTCCCCCCACCCCTCCCCCCCGGACTGGAAATATAAGAAGTGTCAAAACATCACGAAACAGAGTACATACAGCCCAAACACAACAGGAAGGATCTCGTGAAAAAGCCAGTCCTTGCAAGTTTGCTCTTCCTAATTCTTCAGACTTGGGGAACCAAATTCAGCCCTGCTGTGGTTGACCAAGTGCAAATCCATTCACTTCAGTGGAGCTGGATTTGGGCTGATTTTGACTCAAGAGATTTAACTGAGTTTTGATCAAATGCCCTGACTGAAAAAAACCAAAGCATCTATGGGTACGGCTAGATTGCAGGGGGGTTTTGGGATACCTGCCACTTAGGGATACTCCTTGTGGTGTTTTTTTTTTTTTTTTTTTGCGGAAGAGCAAAGGCGCTCTTTCAGAAGCCCCTGTAATCCTCATTCCATGAGAAAGAAGGGGGCTTTGGAAAGAGGGTTTTTTTCTGAAATTTGGCCCAGTCTAGATGGATCAAATTTCAGAAAAGCCTCTTCTGACAAAAGTATTGGAAAAAGATACGCAAAATGCAATGCATTTTGCATATCTTTTTCTGATAGATCCTCACAGTCTAGCCGTACCTCAAATTTTTGGTCAATCATCCTATAGCATTAACAGAAATACTTAAAACACGTGAAGATTACCTATATAATGGTGCTTTGCTTTTTGATTTGAAGCAGGGTGATGAAAAAAGAAATTCACCCCTCAAATAATCTGGCTAACTTCAGTGGAATTGCACCCAGATGGATTTCTCTCAATAATTTTAAGAAGAAAATTAATCTCCTGCAATCTCCTCATGGGGGGAAAAAAGCCTTCAGCTACCTGATACCCCTTTTAGGTGAAACAGAATGAAGTCCACAAAATAAATTCGACTACTGTGAAAACTGGTCTATAGATGTTTGCATTTGCATAAGAAAAAAGTTCTGCACAAAATGTACTTAGAACAACCGGTATTTGATACCTGCACTGATAAAAGGTTAAGACCTGGGGGAGGTTTGTATTTCTCCGAATGATTTATAAAATAAAAGCTCATTAAATAGCAAAGTATACCACTGAGACCCATTGCCCAACCCATCTCTTTCACTTAAGCCCATCGCAACATTTGAACAATCTACGTATCAGTAAAAATCTCAACGAGGAATAAATGAAAGCTTTATTGTGAACCTAACCTAAAAGGGCAGCTTGTCTCTTTTGCTTTGGTCCTTTCCTTTGACTGAGAGCTATGCAAACACTTACTGTCTGGTTGTTACATGATGGAGGTCTATGCTGTTGAAAACTGGAATGAATACTGGGACATCTGAATTTTATTATACATACTAGAAAAGACAATAAAGCTGATGAATGCTCATATCTACAAGCAATGATCTTTTGGGGCCTAATCTAATTCTAACTGGAGTCAATAGAACCGGACTAGCTGATTTCAGTGGGAATTAGATCTGGCCTATAACCAGATACTACTTCATAGTGATGGTGCTCAAAACAACATCTTTCAAAGCACATTGTAGACAAATTGGGCCAAATGCTGAAGTACATACTAGTTTCAGTGGTGTTTTGCCTAACAGATAGAAGACCGTTTAAAAACTGGGGGCCCAGATCCTCAAAGGTATTTAAGTTCCTAACTTCCATTGATTTCAACAGGAATTAGGAATCCGTATCTTGCAGGTACTGAACCTGACAGCCTGATCATGCGATTTTTATGCACGCTAGTAGGCCTTATTTCAGAGAGTAGTTAGCCCAGGGAAGGCTTATTTTCATACTTGTATGTTGCTTTGAGATCTTGGATGAAAAATCAAAGACTATTCATCTCCAAAAGCAATAATCCAAATACCTATTTGTTTACCCCACCACAAAGTTAGAGGTGGCTTTTCATATTTTCTTTTACACTCTGTACTGCCAACTCACTGTTTCTCCTGCTCTGTTGCTCCAGAGCAGTGGTTCTCAAACTTTTGGGGCTCCTTGCTCTGTTGCTCCAGAGCAGCGGTTCTCAAACTTTTGGGGCTCCAGAGCCCTTTACATGTAAACATTTATGTGGAGCCCCAGCGGTCCACTGATTGTACGTGTTGTACTTATCGCTGTTTCCAGTTTGTCAGTCTCGCGGAGCCCTGGGGCTCCAAG